CACTAATTGACTATAAATCACAAATTATCCAATTTATCACAGCTTCATCACGTTTTTTCTGGTCAATTGAATTATGAAGGTCATTACGATATTGATGTAAAGTTCTTTGTATTTTGAGTGCAATAATTGAATGTATTTGTTTCGGATGTCTTCATAAAGTAGTAACACCACTAGTTTTGAAAATTGGCTTCGATAAAACATAATAATAATAAAAATTCCCCCAAAAAAAGATAAAACCGGTGAGATAATTTTTATTGTTCAAAATTTCCTTATTAAGAAAGATCAGCTGGTCCTAAAATTTAGGACCGTGGTTCAAAGGACCAGTTCAAAGACCAACACAACCTTACACCTGACACAATTTAAGAACAAAATCATAACAGTTTCAATTTCATCAATATCAATTCTAATTGATTTAAATGTAGAAAAATCTAGGTCACCTTTCATTATATTGTCATAAAGCTCCTCTAATTTTAGCGTGATTATTAACATTTCAAGGATGTTTTTGTGACAACATATGGTAATTTTACTATTCCAAATGACCAGATATCAATGGATTTGTCATATTTCACATTGAGCAGTATCACCATCACCATTACTATCTGTTGTAAATGTCAAGATTCTATCTTTGAACGCCTTGGCAAGTTCAGGTAAATGAATAAAACAAATAAAATCAATAATTCAAACAAAACAAATGAAAATGAATAAAATGAACAAAATGAATAAAACAAATAAAACGAACAAAACGAACAAAGTTAATAAAATCGAACAATGTGAATAAAAGTGAATAAAACAAATAAAACGAACAAAGTGAATAAAACAAATAAAAACGAATAATTCGAATAAAAGCGAAACCTGTATTACGAATAGAAAATATTACTATGCATAAATATTAAAATCAAAAAACAACAAACAAATAGCTTTTATTGCGAAATAATTAATTTTGTTCCTTTGGCGGTGTTAATGATCGAATCGATCACACAGGTAATAGCCAATTCAAACAACAACATTGTTTTATAAAATTTAAAGAATTTTAATGTTGCAAATTTTTTTGATACGTCAATTTCAGTCCAAAATCAATCATACAGTATTTATATACTTTAAAGTTTCTTTATTTCTCTTTTTGATATATTTAGTATTTTATTAATTGCAATGGACCAACCCAAAGTCCATCAGTTCTCAATGGACCGGTCAATTTGCCGACCCTGATCTAATGCTATATGATGTACGCATTATAATCAGAAATCAACTTATAATGATAATAATAATGAATTCATATTGTGGTGTTGACAAATGTCATTAATTCAGTTATAACAAGCATAAGTTAAATATAATTTTGTCCAGTAAAGATGGAAATGATTTTTTAAATATAAAATCCACGTTAATATATGGATTAATTAACTGGAAAGTTATTTTTTATATATCCACTCAAAAGTGGAGCGACCTTTTCTAATATTAAAGAACATTTTAGTAATGAAATTTTGTAAACATGTTAGTAAATGGTCTTTTCTACAAATAAATATAGCTTATGCTTACTTCTATAGCATGTCACGTGAAATATCAAATAATGTTTTTTCTTTTTTCTAATTGCCAGTGTTTCTTATTGAGGTACCAATAATTTTTTGTCATTCATGAATAGCTACCATTACACTATAATTAATATTAAATTTTGTCTTTAATCTGTTTGGTTGATTTATAGTTATCTTTAATGGCTTTTTGATTCAAAATTACCTACCTCTCTCTCTTCAAAATATGTATTTCTTTGTTACTATTGTTCTGGAAAACCCATGGTTTTACTGAATTTACTTTTGAAACTTCATATCTTTACTTGCAGTTAAATCTGACAACTTTTATCAAAAATTTTAATGTCTATGAAGATTAACATCTCACAAGTGATATCAATTTGATTTTTTTTTTTTTATTGCTTATTAAGTAAAAATTAATCTTCATATCAAATACTATAATATACCGAAGTTTCACCACATATAAACAAACCAAAAAAAAATGTAGTATAAGTAAAAAATGCGTCCCACGTTTAAATCTAGTTACTTTTAAAATTTTAGAGCATTTGGTAAATTAATTGATGAGAAAAAAAAATAGAAATAAAACCGTAGAAAATTTTACAAAACAATAAACTATTTTTAAATTTATTGTATTTTATTTAAAAAAAAAATCAATATCTTGTCACGTTTCCTTTATTTTATTCCTTTATTTTATCACACCCTTTATGACATACCATTTATTAATCTATTGATTCTTTCTGGACTAATATTAAACCATTCCTATTTTAATAAACTGAATAGTCCTATCTCATTTTTTCTGATATAAATTTTCAATGGTGGTGTTTCGACTGCACTTTTGGATCTATTTGGTTTCTCTATATGAAAATTTGGTCCTTTAAGCCAATAATTTCTCCACATCCAAATTAAGTTAATTGAGTAGCTTTGGGCATTTTAAATTTTCTTTAAAAAAATGAATTAGACATCTCGGCAATTAATTTACCCAATGTTCTAAAATTTCAATGATTAGCAAGTGTCATTAAACTGAGCGAGACTTTTCATTTATTCTTATGTCAAATCAATTAGACAATTAATTTAAAATTGTTAAAAAAAAATATTAATATGTATATATATATATAAGAAAAAAAGTTGTTAATAGATTTATAAACTTATAAATATGATGCTTACAAAAAAGTCCATTATTGATGAAATGTTCTACTAAATCCAGAGAAGCATATCATTCCTTATCAACTAGAAGAAAAAAACTATTGATTTGTAACAGGTTCATGACAAAGTTAGTTAAGAAGAAATTTTAAGATATATACATGATGAATTAATTGACGAAATCCACATTTTGTCTAACACCCCCAGAAGACATCCACTTCCAATAAACCTGCCGATGACAAGTCTTAGGCAAGGCATAAGGGAATACTACCAGACCGTATCCAAGATTTGGTCGTGAATTGGAATCAAATATAGTAAAATAAAAAGCAAAGGTATACGTGTAAATGAGTATGGAAATTAACATGAATTATAAATGATATGGATAGAAGGTTTATTTGTAAACATACTTGTGAATGAAACTGTTTCAAATGTATAATGATTTTATACAGATAGATTTATCAACGATATTTGCAACATGTAAATAGTTGTATTGCAATTATAGTTAAATTTCTGCACTTCCACCTCGTCGGGAAACTTGACGAGATAGATTTTCAATGTCTCGTAAATGGATTTATCTAAAAACAAAATTAAGAAAAGAACTTAATTAATCTCAAAGCATGATAATTCATTACTTACGTTGGCTTTGGATTCAATTCTGTTAAAATGCAAAATTTTAAAAGAATTATGCTGCTGAAAATCAAAATTGGTTTTTCACGCTCATAATCTTGCAAATTATTTCATCAAAGGACCTCTAAACATCCAACTGTTTCATAATATATATAAAAAAAAATACCGGTGAATTTTGAAAATACCATAAAACCAAACTTGCCATATCCAGGCTTCTTTTTCAGGTAACTTTCTCCACGTGCGAACACTACCTCTTTGCCTGCAAATTAAAAAGGCTTTATCATGCTTTGAGTCTCTATCATTCGTTAAAATTATTCTACCTGATTAGCAGATAAACACACAGTCAATATAATAGTTGGAGACAAATTCAGGCTATCAACTAAAAAAAATTTTTTGGTCTCTGCTTTAACACTTGCCTAATTTCAGTTATA